TGTACACCACCATACTAAGACCTATTTGGACATACGGAGCAGAACTTTGGGGTTCCGCAAAACACACACACACATAAACAAAATTCAAACAACACAATCCAAAATACTTCGTAAAATCGTCAATGCTCCTTGGTTTATTTCAAATCACACCATACACACAGACATTAACATACCAAAAGTAAAATCCTACATACACAACAAGTACATTTCATTCTGTACAGTACATTCATTCTTCTACACTCAATCATCCAAATCGACTCGTTCCATCTCTATCTTCCTCCCTTTCACCTGGTGAGCCTCAACGACGACTAAAAAGGCAGTGACCTAAATCTTCTGCTGGCAAGTTAGGAAAATATTAAGAATACAAGAAGATAGAATAAATTCCAACACATTTGCTTGATGCGTTACAACGCAGTGACAAATTTAATGGAAAATAAATAGAGTACAAAATAAAATATATTCTTTGTATTTTAGTATCTTGGAAATAAAATATAAATAATTCCTTTTGTATTTTGAAATTCTTTATTTATAAGCCTAAGTCTGCTATTAACCTATAAATGTACTCTCAAATAGCTTAAGGTTGGCGACTTTTGGCCTAATCTAAACGAGACCTCTAATGATAAAAAAAGTTTTCTTACTTATTAACTATACCAACGATTAAGATGGCCAATCTTTAAGTATTTAAATCAGGAACTTAAGTCACTCAATTTCATTAAAAGTTTTTTTATTTCCAGTAATTTCTTTTACAACCGCATCTGAATGATTTACTGTTACGGCTTACATTTCAAGTATAGTAATTATGCAAAAGAGCAATATTCTCTGACCACCTTCTGCTTCGACGATTTAAGAAAACAAGAACTCTTAAAAGAATTAATGTCAACGATGGAGGTGGAAGGCTGCTGGTTTATGGTTTCTCGAGACCTGCCTCAGAATTAAAGTTTCTTGCCAACGATAAAACAATTAATTGCTCCCCCTTATTTTCTTTCTTTTCTGCAGCCTTTCATAACGATCCTCCAGTTAGAGTAGGATGAATGAAATTTAACCTTTGAATAGAATGGCTCCAGTCCTGAAGTAACTATATTTATTAGAAACAATATAAAAACTTAATCATTGGGTTTAGTCTGTTTTACAACAAAATAGTTGTATTGATTGTGCCGGCAATAGACACTTTAAGAAACATTTTCATCATTAATGTGAATAGCAAATTTAGTCTTACATAGATTTGTTTTTCTAATTCAATCATATAATCGTTCTGACATGTATATTGCACCAGTCATACAAACTCAGACATAGGAGTCAATAGGTTATTTATATCGTCTATAGAATTAAACAAATTAAAAATATATTTTGCTCAGTTCTAAACTAAGAAATAGCAAACTGTCGATAAATGAGTACAAATTTCAAACTTATCTCCTAATAAAAAGAGATGAGGAAAACCCAGCCTTACTCCATTAGAAAATCCAAAGCCAATCAGATATGGTGCCTTGATATAACATGAGGTTCAGGTATTACCCTTTTGTGTTTTGACAAGTAAGTTTCATCTTTGAGCCGTCTGAGTTTTCCGGTCCAGTATGGTCCAACTATGATCTAACCGTTCATTGAAGGAATTAATTCTTAAACCACTATTTTTCTTATTAAATACAAATTAATAACACTTAACAAATTTGTAGCAATATGCTAACACATCCTTTCATAATCTTAATAAGAGGCAACAAAATAATTTTTTTTCTGTTATTACGGACATTATAGATCTTATGTTACCTTAACAAGCCTACTCCATCTCTCCTTATCTTGGATTATTTCTTTAGTGTTTTCTGTATTGTATCTCTGTTAATTCGATTTATTCATCCGCTTTTAACACTATTGTATCTCTGTATTGTATCTTGTACTATTGTAAATCCGTACTATTGTAAATCCGGAATATGCTATTGTAAATCCGTATTGTATCTCTGTTAATTCGATTTATTCATCCGCTTTTTGGCCTTCGACGTAGTCTTTTACATACTACTCAGGCATTCATTATCGTGTAAAGTTTTCCAAATGGATTGCTCCAAACTACATGGCCCGCCCATCTTAACCTCCCTGCCTTTATATCATGAGGTATTGATTAACTAGTTTCTGTAAGCAGCTTGGTCTTTCTTCTCCATATGTTAGTGATCTGACTCCAGATCGCTCCGGTCGTCCAGTATCCAGGTCTCACAGCCATTTGTAACAACTGGCTTTATCATATCATTGTACACTCTTAATTTGAGATTTTTCGACACCTTTGAAAGGGAGCAGGAAGTGTTTGATCTTTACGTCTTACTTTCAACAAAGATGCTGCAAAACTCTTTACAGATAATTTGAAAGCAATAGCTAAAATAATAAGCAAGGATAGAGAAAGGTGGTTAAGGCAGAGAAAGATCTAATAGGTCTGTAAATCCAACTGAAAAAAAATTAAAAATATTACATTATAAGTGTACAAATAAAATAGAATAAATATAGTCAATCAGAGAAAATGTACCACGGGTAAAATCTTTGCGGGCACCAATTAACTATAATTATTTTCAAAAATCATCTCATTATAATGTTCAGATGAGTTTTAAATTACAGCCTTTTTTATATTTTCTTTAAAATGAATGAAGCTAGAAGAATGTTTCACAAATTCGTCAAACAAATGTATATATTTTCAAATGTTTGTATACAGTATTTCAAATTGCTATATTGTATAATGATCCTTTGGTGCAACAGATTATATCTACTTTATTTTATAATCAAGTCTTAGTTAGCTGTAAGAAAATTCAGTAAGATACAGGAAGGTATAGTTTAAAGATGCCTTGAAGTAGGGCAAACAGCCGTGGACTTAAAGGCAGCTAGTTCCAAGAGCTGTAAAATTTGGCTGTAAAGTTCACTCTAGTTATAGCGCTTAGGTGCCACTTCGACAACTCCTAACTAAGTACATGGCTTTAAAACTGCAAGTTCCCTAATGTGGCTTTCAGGGGATATCTAAGGCTTCTTTTCCCTTACAAAAGATTTCTAACAATAATGTTTCTGATTTGGGTATTAATTCATGTTTCCAGACTCATATTTTACAACTGTTTTTATTATTTATCAACTGATAGAAACTATATTTGACATCAAATTTAAACTAGTTGCGAACCTCACCTAACCAGCTTTAATTAGAACAAAAACACAATATGTGGTATACTGCGATAATAACTTTCAGTAACCTTCCTACCTCAAGTATAAATAGGTATTCTCGTGTTTACTGTGTTGTGGGGCGGACTCAACTGGAGAAAAAAAGAAACAGACAGATTGAGACCATAGTATAGAAACAGGTCAGCCTAATTTGCCTAGTTTTTTCTTGTGGATAATCTTGAGTATACAAATTAGTGAGTAGAAGAAGAAGCGGTCCCGGCAATAGTGACAGAGTATGTAGGAGGCATAGGGATATAGTTTTTGATCAATCAAAATTCTAAGTTTTGTTTACTCAATGTTATCACAATTTTAATTTTCTCCAGCCTGAGTAAGTTCAACCATTTAATTATTTTCTCTTCTATCTAAAATGATCACCGCAGCCTACGTGTGCAAATTTCATCATGTTTTTCTATTGCCTACAATATAAAAATTTCTACTTAGCACTTATAAATAATCACATTAATTTTCGGATCTCCCCTTTCGCATAATGTTATTGAAAAGCATAGTTTTAAATTTGTTTAAAACTAATAGTTGAATATATCTTAATGTCCACTCAAACGGTTTACACCGAGGAAGTTCTTTCCTATCGTCAGATCTTGCCTTGAATAGACATGGGTCTTCACAACTGGTCAACTGTGTCTCACAGTTCCTCACGGCATCAGCGGGTTTCAGAGCTAAGCTTTTTATAGTAAAAACATTGACCCCTTATATCCCACTTGTCACACAAATAAAAAACAGCCTGCACAAAATATGGGGCACTGAGGGCCAAATTACATATGGGAAAGCGAATTTCCTCAACTGATGTCTACTCGGAACTACCAGCACTTTAAATTCTTTGTGTGCGGATGGAAAGAAGTGCCCAACCCACTCCTTAAGCCGGCAACGACAGTTTGGTGGTAGGTGTTGCCGACAAACTCGCAATTCCCGCGGTCACGGTTTCTTGAAAAGAAGTGTGGTGCCCGAAGAGCTATGCGGATCCGAGCTCTTTTGGGATTCCCCCGGAGATATTTAGGGGAGTGACGACTAGAGGGATTCAATGCTCTAGCACGAACTGGACAAGATTTAACCGGATCAACACTCAAAAGAAGTTATATCAGACAACCAACGTCGATACTTCCCACAGAGAAGGCGCAATCGAGAAAGTAACCGGAAGATGTGTCGGAGCTCCTTCCAAAGAACGCTCGCTGCACTGCGCTGACCTTATCGTTTGAGTTATCATGTGGACGGCTTTGAGGCGGATCATGTGCTAGATCCAAACGGCAGTGTGATACGCCAGAGAAGTGGTAATAGGCGCGACGGAAGGTTGTAGTCGGAAGGTTGTACGGATGTTGTAGTCGAAGCGGTCTACCGCAAATACCATGTGAGTTATGGTCGACTTTTACAAGTCGACATAACTCTCATACATAATTTCTTAAGGAGTGAAGAAACAGTAACTGAAAGGCTACCTATCAGAACAGAAAAACAAGGTGAAAGAAGAAATTGAAAAAAAAAAATCAAAGAAAGCTGAGTAAGCAGAAATTTATTACCATGTAAAAGATAAACTTCCAGTAGTGCTAAGCAGAAATGTGTATCAAGTCATTGCTGCACACTACCGTATTGTCTTAAAGGTAGATTAAGGGAGAAAATATAATACAATAAAGAGAATAGCTAACTGGAAGTAAAAAAGAACTAAAGACAATTTTTTTTTAGATTTAAATAATTTCAGCATTTACAGTTATCACCAGTGACTAAATAATTCCAAATAAAAATCCAAAATTAATCAAAGTTTAAATTTATAAAAAAAAATAGATTTGAACTGTCTATTCATCGTTATTACATATATGCTGTATATTAGTATAGATCTTAAGTAAATTATGGTTTTTCCTGTAGGTGAACATAGAGATAGAAAATTTTATAATTGAAAAGATAATTGGGCCTTTTAAGAAGCGTTGGGTCGGATGGAGTGGCCCTGTTGGTGATGGTATGAACACCTTGGCACGATATATTCGCGTGGTACACTCCACTTTCCATTTTACAAGCCACACTCTTCAATAAATGAGTTTCCTGAGGTCTCTCATACTCGTTCTCTGTGATAGATAGATCGAGAAACATTAATTAATTCTTTATATACACATACATATATATGGGAAAATTCTTTTTGAGCTAAAAATTGAATGTCTGAAAGTCAAACTGTACCTTAATTTAAAAAAAAAATCTTTATCTACCTTAATGTTCCTAAAAAAAAAAAAAAAAATAAATAAAAAAATAATCTTCTATATAAACATTCAATCCTTGTTAATCATGAATTACCTAGAAAATCAAAGAATTTACTTTGTTTCTTTAATTTTAGTTTAAGCTTATCATTTAGTGTGCTACCAATGGGTAGTTCCTCAACAAGCTTCAAGTGATTGTATTATTGCTGTGCACACATTTACTAGATGTAGTTTTAATTACATGCAGTTGTAAATATCATGAATAAAAAGAAAAGTTTATCACAAGTAAAGGGTGAGCCTTAGCGCCTAATTAGAACTCAAAAATAATGAAATGACAGAAATTATTGTAAAGAAATAAACCTCCTTAAAATGCAAAAATACAGCAAAAAAGAACTTTTGAGAACTTAAAACTAGTCAAAAAAGTATATAAGAAGCTTAAGAAATCACTCCGAGATGTTGTTTCTGAATCGTTCATTCAGCACATGCCTTATACCATAGGGTATACAAAAAAAAATCTATGTATAGGTTTTACGTGTAAAAGGTTTATAATCAAATTAAATTAAAATTTATACAAGGTCATGTTGAGGAAAATGAATTCTTGCCCGTTAAGCAAAAACAGCGTATGGAATTTGATATAAAACAATTTTTACGGCATTATTTTCATCTATTCATCTTTTCTCCAACATTAAGCATAACCAAACTAGCCATTTGTAAAATATAAGCGAGTTGAGAATATGTTTGCGAATACGTTGGCGAACATAGATGACATTTGATAATATTGATACTGGAATATTCCGCAATTTTAAACTAATTTTGAATTTTTTAAACTTATTTATTGAAAATATTACAAACTGTCTCAAAGGACATTTATAATAGTGTTCAGATATCACATTCACACTCTATGTACAATAAATAAAATAAATCATATAGAAAAATAATATATATACAATAAATAAAATAAATTATACAGAAAAATAATATATATACAATAAATAAAATAAATCATATGGAAAAATAATATATATACAACAAATAAGAATAATATAACCTAAAAAGAAATAAATAAAAATGAACACATACACTATTTACAATCTGGCGAGAGAACTCCGAGTCAGACTTGTACCTCCAACTGTGGAGGTAAAAGCATGATTCCAGAATATCCCTGTACTTCTCTCCCAACCGCGTCATTGGGGCTAAACCCAGTGGAGATTGAGCAACAGTGCTTTAGCCACATACACTCATGTCGTGAGTGGAGGATCTGACCATTGCCAGAATTCCAATAATTTTATAATAATAATTTTGGATTTAGGCCTTTTTTTGGAGGGGAGAGTGGTGAATCGAATATTTGATGTTTATCTATACCGGAATAAAAACATTTTGAGTTTAATTTCTATTTAATTAGCTTAAACGTTTTCAACACCAACAGAAATAATATGAAATGTTGAAAATACATAAACTGTAGGGCATTGTTGACATACCCTGCAGTTCCCACCGAAGTGGTTTACAGGAAAACTTTAGTATCTCCTCCTGTATTTATTCAGCTGCGAACAAATCCTAAAGTAAACTCCGGATAGTTTAGCATATTAAAGGCACACCCTCACGCTCGTCACTTGCTCTGTTACGGAGTACCCTGGATTTATGGATAGTGGCCAATGAATATTATATTTTGTAAGCCAGTGGTATCCAAGTTCTAACAAAAAAATAATAATCATAAATATTTATCAAAATCAGACATATTTTAGTCAATTTTACTATCGCTAACAAATAAAGGTTTATTATTTCTTATAAAATAAATTATAATTTTGAAATAAAATACACAGGATGTATCACAAATAAATAACACTATTCCAGGGTTCGAATGCTCTACTTACGTGCTGAAAACAAATTTTATCTTCAAATCCCAAATTTCTTTTTGCAATAAAGTTATGATATACTCTTAAGTAGCTTAATATATGTCCTGATGGACGGTGCTGAGACTGTAGGTGTGTCCCTGGCCTGAGGTATCGAAGCTCTATTTTTAATACTTTGAAGAGGATCCCATTGTTAACTTATAAAAAGAAAAATAGCGGGATCGAAACGTCAATAAACAGAGGAAATGAACATTTAGTAGTTTATTAAATAATAATTCAGTGACCTTATTCCCAATAAAATGGTTATGTTTAAATTTAATACTCAATGGCCGATTAAAGAAAAGTTGTAAAAAAAAACAAAAACAAAAAAAACAACATAACAAGTAAATCTCCTATAATACTTTTCTCGCAAATAGCCTAACTCATTTATATATATATATATATATATATATATATATATATATATATCTTCTCCTGCATATGACCGTTATAAGCAGGGCTGTATGGATGTTAATAATAATAATGAAGAAATAGATTAATAGATAAATGTGCGCTAGGAAATGGAAGAAGTACTATTAATTAGTAACTATGTACTCATGATTATTTCTTTATCGAAATTACTCTATTTAATTAATTAAAAGTACATCTTTAATTTTAAAAAACAGTAAGTGTGTACTCATAGGGAGTGGAGTAGCTCAGTGGGTTGGACACTGACTTCCTGAGCTGAAAGTCTAGTGTTCAATTCTGGCTGATGGCAGTAAAATTATTTATTCTGTTTCATCGGGCATGGTTCCATCACGGAGTCGGCATACCCTCTTCGAGCACACCCAGTCTTTATAAATTGGCACTCTTATAATTATTTAATTGATTTAGGAAGAAAACCTGGTGGTTGAGCGTGATCTCATTGTCCGCCAAATCATCTCCTTGCACAACCGTTGACCAAGAAATAGTACTTTCCCAACTAGTGCTTGAAGCTAAGACACTTCATGATTTGAAGTGGTATGGGTTTTTTTAATTCTGTTCTCATTATTAAGGCTATAAGCTAAATTTATTAAATTTAGATTCTATCTAATTAATGAAAATGTTTCTTAGGATTGTAATATTTATTAATGATAACATAATAAGTTAGTTCTAAATATGACATTGCATGATATCGGGCAGATAGTCCGGCATAAAATAATAATATGCTTTATATGAGGGATAAATAATAAATTGGTACAGACCTCCGGACATTTTAAAATATCATATGAAACTGGATTTGAGCTCATCTCGGTAGACTAATTATATATGGTTATTTTTATTTTAAAAACGTTGTTTTTGATTAACAAGAAAAAATTTCATTTTTCCCCCAAATGAAAAACATGGGTGAAAAATATTCAGGACCAGGATCAAATGAAAAACATTTTGGTGTTCTGATAATTATAGTAGAGAATTCGACTCCGTGAATGTTATCATCTGGTTGAGATGCATTCAGCATACTTATAAATCTTTATTTTAATCGGTTGCTTAAGATTTATTGTCCATTTATAGGAGGAGTCAATAAAATGGAATGAATATAATATGACCATAGATTCATTGATAAAAGCATAAGTTATTTCAATTGAACTTAGTTCGGCACTGAAAACTTGTAAACACTCCCTAATTAAACACTGAACGATATTACTGAGAATATTTCCATTGTAGCAATACTGTGAAAAATGCAAGTCTGGAAAAGTTGATGATATTGAAAACTGGAGGAAATGGTGGAAGGAACTTTTTCTACTTGGCTCATAGCTGAAGGCTGTTTGCAATGGCTATTTTAGTCTGGATAATTAAAACTTTCTCTTTCCTTCTTCACTAACTCGTAATTAAAACCTACTTCAAACAATTTGAATTCAACACTCTCTGAAAAAGGCCCTTCCCCCCCAAAAAAAGAAATAAAAAATATAGTAACAATTATAATAAAATTTTATTTTTAGGGCACTATAACGTTTTGGACAAAAAGATAACCTACTCTGCTGTTTGTTTTGTTTTTACTAAACTTTATACTTTTATTTATAATTTAATTTTTAATGATATGCAGATGTTTAACCGTTATTACAATTTGAAAATGAGTTGGTCGGGGGTGCGTTCAAATGTATTGTACTATATTAAAATAGTATTTTATTAAATACGCTGACGTTTCGACGCACGCTGAGGGTCTTCACCAGATCTACAAAAGATACAAAATATAAACTGAATAGAAACCAGATAAAAATAATTCATTTATTTTATGTTTTACCTCGTATTTATATTTATAATTTGTAAACTTTGTAACTCCCCCCCCCTTCCTTGCATGTTAACTACACGGGGTTTCTTCAGCAATGGGTTAATACCTTAGAATTACGTAGGTCTATTGCTGCTAATTAGGACTGTTTATCATACTTTTTGTATAATTTGTCTTACAATTTAGTAGTTCTATACTGTAGTGCGGCCCGGTGCAAGGGCTTGGCCTTACTAATGGGGCCGCTCCTTAATCTCCAGCTGATTGCGCGTCCTTCCCTCCTGGGTCACTTCAGCCAGCCGCTCGATCTTTCTCGTGCTGCCTCTGCCGATCCTCTTCCTCATGGGCCGCTGGTAATAGTTCTCTGCCTATCGGGATCCACCGTCTGTCTCCATTTTCCCCATGAACTCCACTAATTGGGGATATATCTCCTCTTCTACCAGTCGGGAAAGGTCCTCTTCATCTAGGGCGTCCAGTCCCTTCCTCCGCATCAATATGGCTTTGGCTTGCTCCAAAGTGGGGCATGATATAACCGCGTGCTCGATATTCTTCCAATGCTTCCGGAGTTTGAGTCTAAACTCTCCATGTTCCTTCAGGATCTATGAGATCCAGTAGTCTGGTGCCTCCAATCTCGTATGAACGGTGGTAAAGTACTTCCTCAAGGTGGCTCCTTTCTCACTTGCCATCAACTCCTCTAATGTCGCCTCTCGGATTATTCTACTCCGTTTTCCTTGATCCTCACGGACCCACTAGAAGTTCCTCCAGGCCCTGCTTCTTTAGGT